ATTTAGATACATCTGAATTGCGAAATGAAGAATTAAATTTAAAAGGGGAGACATTGGATGTTAACCATGCAGAACCATTGGAAGAAATTTTCAAAAGAATCCACTTTAATAAAGTTGATTTAGAAGCTACATCTTTGAATGATGAGGTATTTTTTTAAATTTGCAGTTTAAAATAATTAAAAAATTATTTCTTTGAAAATGTCAGTTAATATTGTTTGATACCTTTATGTTATAGAGTTCTGTGATATTATTTGATATGTTAGAGTATTATGAATCTGCAAAACACTTGAATATTTCATCTAATCAAAGCATTGGGATTCATGGTTGGCAAGCATGTGCAAATATGATAAGAAAGGTATACATAATATATACCTTTTTAACAAAAAACGTTTATGCACTTATTATTAATTTTAAATAAGATTTTTTATTATTTTGTTGATCCTTGTATACAAGATAATTATGAAGGACAGCAAAATTAAAAATTAAGCCTAAATTATATATTTTTGAAATTTAGCTTTATGTTATTTAATACATAATTAATGTAATCATTATTTGTCTAGACCCAATGTTTAGAACATCTTGAAGCAAAGGATGTAATACTTAATGAACAATATATGAATATCTTGAGTCGTGCGTTGCGATTAGTCTGCCATCTACATGTGCTTAAATTAGAAAATTGTGGACTTTCAGGAAGATCAATCGTCACACTAGGTATTTATTATACAATGTAGTTTCTTATCTTTATTTTTTTTTTACTTTGTAATCATTACAAAATGTAATCTACTATTATTTATTATCTTGTTTTTGTTTCCTTAAAAATTGTTATGGTCCACAAATTCAGTACATGATATAAGTAAAATATATACAGTAAAATACTAGGAATAAATTGCTTGAATAATTTTGACATGTTTAAGAAGGTTTTAGACATCTATATACTGTATTATAAAGTATTAGTACTATATTTGGACAAGTTCTGTATTTTATAATTTGTTTTAGGAAATCATGTAAAATTAAATATGAAAATTAGTCAATTAATGCAGATCTATCAAAAGTTTACTTTAAAAGCTGATTGCTTTTCTTTTGCATTTTAACTATTCTAATATAAAAATTGTAATAAATTATT